ACTCAAACCCTAGGGGGTGACTATGATGTGACCTTCTCAGTAGTAGCCAAGATCAAGTCTATTAGGGTTATATTAGCCATATTTGTGTTTCATGATTATGAAATTTGGCAGATAAATGTCAAAACTGCTTTCCTTAATGGAAAGTTGGTTGAAGATGTTTACATGTATTAGCTAGAGGGTTTTGTGGATGCTAAATACCCCAATCGAGTGTGCAAACTTGAGAAATCCATTTATGGATTGAAGCAAGCATCTTGTAGATGAAATATTTGCTTCAAAGAGAAAGTCAAAGTGTTTGGTTTCCTTAAGAGTGAGGATGAGTCTTGTGTATATGTCAAAGCTAGTGGGAGTATAGTTAGCTTTCTAGTATTGTATATCGATAACATATTGCTCATAGGAAACAACGTTCCAACCTTGCAGGAGGTTAAGTCGTGGTTTGGAAAGTGTTTCGCTATGAAGGATCTAGGAGAGGCTACTTATATACTGGGGATATGGATTTTGAGAAATAGGAGTAGAAGACTAACTTGACTTAGTCAAAGTACTTACTTAGACAAGGTGCTAAAACATTTTAGCATGGAGAATTCCAAGAAATGGGAGATTCCTACCCATAGCAATACCAAACTGAGTAAGAATCAGAGTCTGAGTACCGATGCAGAGATAGTGGAAATGAGTCGACTGCCATATGTTTCCGCAGTTGGCTCGATCATGTATGCTATGACATGTACTCGCCCTGATGTGGCTTTTGCGTTGAGCATGGTAAGTCGATATCAAGGGAACCTGGGTAGAGCTCATTGGATAGCAGTTAAGAATATTCTTAAGTATCCACGAAGGACTAAGGACTGGTTCATTGTGCTTGGTGGCAGAGATGACTTAAGAGTCACAAGGTATAGTAATGCTAACTTTCAGACTGACAGAGATAACTTCCGCTCTTAGTCAGGCTAGGTGTTTACCTTAAATTGAGGAGCAATTACTTGGAAAAGTTCCAAGAAGGAGAGCGTGGCTGATCAATGTGCAAATCAGAGTACATAGATGCGAGTGAAGCGTCAAAGAAGGTTATATGGTTGAAGAACTTCATTGGAGACCTTGGAGTTGTACTAGCTATAAAGGAGCCCATGGATATTTTCAGCGATAATGAAGGAGCGATTGCCTTAGCAAAGGAACCAAGGGATCATGGTAGATCCAGACACATTGACATAAAATACCACTCCATCATACATCGAGTAGAAGAAGGACTCCTCGTCGTCAAGAGGGTATCATCAAAAGAGAATCCTGCAGATCCCCTTACAAAGGGTCTGAGTAGGATTAAGCACGTTCAATATGCGAGGAGCATTGGTCTGAAGGACAATATTAGTTTTAGTGATTAGATAGTTAGTTAGAAACTTGTAACAATATAAATGTAATTAACATTTGGTGATTAAGTAATGGAAGATTTATTTATGAGTAAAGTTTACTATCTTATATCCGTTGTTTATCTTGTGTTTCAATTTTGCGTGTTTTACTTCCTAAATCATTGGTTTGTTCAAATTATCCGCAGTTAATCATACTTTGGAAGTAAGTAATGAAGTAAGATTGTTATGAATTAGCTTGTAGATTGTCTAAGTGTTTATACATAACAAATGTTTGTTGCAACGTTCATGAGTACTCAGTATTGGATTAAACCCACACTCATATGAATTACTTCATGGAATTTATTATAAGTAATTGTGAGACGATAATATCGTATAATCTTTAAGTTGAGATATATGATTTGTTGTATATGAGTTGGTTGTGCATTAATAATGCGTAAACGCATTAGTAACTTGATGTTATAAAATGTATTATTGCGTACGATTTAATGAGTAAATAGTACAAGCATATAAGTCAAAGTTTATGTGTTCCTTTTATCCCAAGAGGTAAAAGCGATATCTTGGCCCCCTCGATGGTTTTGTGTTGACTTATGTGTCGGACTCGAGTAGGATTGAATTGATGTGTTCAATTAAGTTCATTGTAAAAAAAATTAGAAATCGGGAAACAAATTGTTGAACAATGAGAATGATTGTGTTCCATGTCTTTGTCCACATGATATCTTGCAGAACGGAGGATTATATGATCCCTTATCTTAAGGACTTGTAACTGACTAGGTCAGAGTTCGACAACGGCTTTTGAGAGCTACGATTGCTAGTCATATTTTTGAGTCATACTTGAAATTATAGTTATTAGACTTATCCAAGTAGGAGACTATTGGATTAGGTGTCTAATCCCATAACTATAATTTGTGTGTACTTGATTTGATAGTAGTATGGTCCTTTTGGGTTGACATCACACTGACAACTAGACAGGATGATTGTTGGAAAGAGAGGCTGAGTTTATTATTTGGAATAATAAGTTGGTGCATAAAAATGACTTATTAATATATTATAAGAATAATATATTAATTAGAAATCATATTATTAATTATTATTTAATCAGAAAGTAATTTGGAATTAATTTTGGTAATAAAAAAGTTGATTAAAAATGCAGGGGCTGTTTTGCAATTATTTGATTGTTGTGGTTTTGGGCCATTGGATCACCCTTATTAGGAATCATATTATTAATTAGTATTTAATCAGAAAGTTATAGGGCCGAAAATCCCTATAAGGTTCTAGAGGTTTTCGTCTAAGCCCTAAGGTCAGGGAGTCCATGGACTTGCTTAGGCCCTAAGCTAAGGGATTATGGTTTCTACCTCAAAACCCTAACTAGCCTCAAGTAATAGAGCCCCTTGGCCTCTTGAGTTCGTGCACCTCATTGAAACCCTAGACTATCTGAATTTTTGATCAAGTGACTCCTCTCTCTCTCTCTATCTATCTATCTATCTATCTCTCTCTCTTTTATTCATCCTCTTGCATTTGTGTGTTTGTGAGCCATTAGAGGTACTCCGCTTGTGGTACTTGTTCTCAAAAGAAAGGATCTTCATTGGTTGCTATTACTATATAGCAACAAAGGTATGTGTTCTAATCTTTCTTATGTAGATTTCGAAATATTAGATGTATATTAGGGTTTTCTATTTTATTTTCAATACTTGTATGTCTAATAAAGAAAACATAGATCCAATCTAGGGTTGCATGCACACGTAGGATTATTTGTATAAAACTCGTCATATCTTTCATCTCAAATTGAGATAGCAGATTCACTTCCAAATTTTGGTAATCATTGTAGTGGATCCTAGGAACAAAACTCGATATGAGTACAACGTACCATCCTCAAACAGATGATAGAGTAAAAGAAAAATACAAACATTATAAGACATGCCCCATGCTTGGTGATAGACGTCAGTAATTCAATGGATACTTACTCACCACTAGTTGAGCTTTCATATAACAATAGTTATCACACAAGCATAAAGGATGCTCCAGTCGAGGCCTTGTACAAACGTAGATGTCATTCTACGATATGCTACATAGAAGTTGGAGATACTCAACTGGCTAAAACTCATGTTAGAGATACTCCACACACTAGCCCTAAGGTCATTCATG